ATCAAATCCTACATTCTCTTTTTAAGTTGAAGCATAAATGTAGAAAAAAAAAAACCTGCAAGATGCTCTTTAATTATTTTGCGGTCTAGATTTCTTTAATTTTTTTGCGTGTGTTTATGAATTACCTCGAGGGCCGTACCAAATGGTCTCGCAGGCCGTAAACGGCCCGGGGGCCGGAGGTTTCCCACCCCTGCACTATGGCTTCATATTGTGCGTAACCTGTTTTTATCCGATTTTTGTTTTTTTAAGCATAGTGCAAAACTTAGCTAGTGCAATAAAAATGAAATATATTGTTAAGTCACCCTTAAGTTTAGTCTATGTTGTCTATGTGGTTAATTTGACTGCACCACCCGTACGTTGCAGGTTACCTTGAGGTGGTAGATGTTGTCTCCAGCATCCAGGTCTATGCCTTTGGATTTCTTGTTGATGGACATCACAGCCAGGCTGACGTCCAGAGAGCCATGGAGCTTTCCTCTCTGAATCTGGAACATAATTAAATGATACAATTCAAACGGTGCCAGAGTTCATGGCCATGTCTCTATCACTGCGACTGACAAGTGTTGATAACTTACATCTTGCTGCGTCTTTGAGTACTTGAGAATTCCTTTTTCCAATATGAAGTATCTCTGAAAAAGAAACATCGCAGGGAAGTGTTAGAAAGAAATCAAAGTTTGAAAAAGGTAAAACAGCTCTGCCTCAGGGAAACTAGACAGAAAATGGTATGCACTACATACTGGGACAACCTTAATAAACCTGGGTACAAAAAACCTGTGTTCACCTTGTGCCAGCCTTTGAGCGGGTACTTCCTCCTCTTCATCAGGTAGCCCTCACAGATGCCGGGGATGCTGAGGTCCCCAGAGGAGCTGGGCGCTGAGTATATGTCCTGAGGCTGCAGGTCCTCCATCACCTCCCAGTGACGGCCCTGACAGAGGACACACTCACTGTTACTAAACAATCTGAATGACTTAATACGTTTGGCCGAGTAATATATTTTATTTCCTAAGAAGGGCAATTTGGCATCATAAGAAGAACAAGAAATTAAATATATTTTCAAAACAATGTTATGTTCCAAAGAGCAAAGTAATCACGAATTAAATAACATACAACTGAGGTTTGTTCTGATTCTATTAACATGTGAAGGTGAAAGGTTTTCCTTCATTTGATTGACCATCATTTAGACTTAGCAAGAGTATATTTCCTTTATTTTATTAAATATTTGTTCCTGGTAAAAATGGACTAAACTGAGGAGTCATTGAAGAGAAACAATGTGTACGGATGTGTGTCACATTCTGATTTGGATTCAGCAAAGTTTGCAGGGCCAAAATATGATCAAATAGAAATTAGACAGCCAGTGAAGCATCAACATGGATCTTCTGAAAACCCAGTGGAGCTGGGAGTCTTTTTACCTGTTTCGAGTGTTTGGAGGAGCCGGTGCTGCTAGTGCGCGAGTGGCCAGGTCTAAAGGTGCTGGCTGGAGATTTTTCAAGGCCGCTCATCACAGACTGGCTGCTGCTCAGAAGTGGCGGGACCACCTGAGGGTCCATTCGTGCAAAGTTAGGAGGGTAGCGATGCATGGAGTGAAAGGACCTTCAGGACAGGTCGCTTCTCATGGCACAGTTCCAAACACTGAGGAAATGTCAACAGAACTGTGATCAATCAATGCTGAAGAGAGATATTTGAAAAATGTAAAGTAGTTGAATCATGTTCAGACAAATGTTCTTTCCAAAATGAAATAAGATGCCTATAAACCTTGTTTGTCTTATATTGGCTTAGTTCTGTTCTCTAACATCAGGGTTCAAATACAGTTTAGAAAAAAAGCAGTAGAAAGTACCTTTACCTCACATTAGGGGCGTTCACACCAAGTTCTTTTCCCACAATAGTTCATGAGAACTCTTTTAGTTCTGATGAACTAAAACAGATCGCGTTCACACCGCAACGAGTTCCTGGGGGTGGATTAGGCAAATGAAGCCGCTGACATCACTTCTTCTGCTTTGGGTTTACTGGCAGGCCGCAAACAACTTCACGGCGTATACTGCCACCCAAAGTCCCCGGCCGGAAGTCCCTGGAGTTGGGGACTGGCTTCAGTAGAAGCTGCTGGGACTCCCAGCAGCTTCTACTGAAGCGTTCCGAGTAAATCGCCAGAACGCCGACACCTCATCTCCATGGCTCCCATGTTTTCTTTTGTGTTGTCATAAGTTAGTCTCTCTGCATTTTGCGCTGGGCTAATGCTAATGATGCTAATGCGAGGATAATAAAATGGCAGCTTCACAAAACTTTTTGGGAGTTTTACGGGGCGTGGTTTGCAATCCGCCCAGCCAATCAGATATAGGAACCCTTTTCTCCCACGAAAGTACCTGCTCTCTAGCAGGGAATGAAAAGGGGTAAAAAAGGTTCTCTATAACTAATTTAGTTCAGGGGGCTTTTTGGTGTGAACGCAAATATATCTGAGTTCTGATTAACTATTGTGGGAAAAGTACTCCGGTGTGAACGCGCCAAATGTCAAATGACAGTAGGAATGAAGGAAGATCCCCGCATCAATGGGTCAAACAGACAATGGAAGGACTGACAAAAGAGCCAGTCAACAAATGGCCCATTTATCTAGTGGCTCTTCTTGCTTTTCTTAAAACAAGACACACCCCTCTTCAACTGCTGGCTTCCTCTTTTCTCATGCAGCAGGTGAGAACAACCGCCATGAGGAAATCGTCCCTTGTCACATGGTTTGTTCAAAGAAAATATTTGTATCAGCTCAGGATGCATAATAAATAAGATTTGGACAATTAGACAATGTAAAAGCTAAAATATCCAATTGTCAGCCCTACTACACAATTTTTCCTGCATATCTTTTGTTTAAAATACCACTACATAAAAGACAAATATTGAAGTAATATAATAGGCTTCAATCCGTAAGGCCCACTCCTATACCTAAATGAAAACATTTGCACATACAAGAAGTGGAAATTGTGATTAGACCATTATCAAATGAAATGAAATAACACCATTGACAATAACAGGTAAAATGAAGAAAGCCTTGGTGACACAACAAATAAAAACACACCTGTGTTACTGCTCCCCCAATAGTCCACAGGAAATTCCTTTTAACTTCCTCCAAAGTAACTTTAGAGCTGCAATAATTTTCTTCAAAGTCCTTATTTAAAAAGAGAAACCACAGCACAGAACGAAACACTTCTTGGAACAATTGTTCAGCATGAACATCCTCCATTACACTGGGAGCATTGTGACTCCTGACTGATGATGCCAGTCAAACCGGTGCATATCAAAGCCCGGCGGGTATCTGGGAGGGGCTGAGAGCAGAGCAGCACTCGACCTGACCCAACAGGCCTGCCGGCTCCGTCATCTCCAGAGGAGAAGATCTGAAATGTGTTCTCAGCAGATGTACAGTAGAAACACAAAAGCTCTGAGCAGCATTCAGAAAGCACTTCAGCTCCACAAAATGGATAGTCCCGTTTGGGATATTTAAAAAAGGTCATACACAAGAAAGTGGTGCTAATTTAGTCAATTGAGTACAATGTCGCTTTTTTATGTCCTCACCAACTTTTGCAGCACAACTACTTATAATAAGAAGATTAAATCAAACGTAAAAAGGTTTAGAGATACATCTGTGCAGACATAAATCAACCTAATGTGATAAGCTGTCAAAATAATTGTAGCGCACTCATGGAACCGTTCAGAATTATAACAATGGCAGGAATTCGTGATGTAATGTGCCTGAAGAGTTTGGTTTCAAAACATTACCCATTCATTAGAATTAAAAAAAAAGTTGTTTTCTTAGAGCAGCTCCAACCTTTAGACCAAAACAGGTAACATTTTTATTGCACAGGCAAAAAATAAAATCTAACAAGCTTTTCACAATTCATGTTCACTTCTTTGAAAAGGATGTTAAGGCTTCAAGAACACTTACTGTATTTTGTTGCAGTTATACAATAATCAGTTTCAATGATAATGTGGGTACCGGTAATTCCTTTTCTCCTCTTGTTCCATTTGGTCAAGATGTTACAATTGCCATTCTCCCATACTCTTAACAGTAACACCTGTATATTATTTTGGATTTAGATTACATTTTGAACCAAGGGTTCGCAAACCCTTTCCTTCTAGCAGCTAACTTCTGGCTTTAAGCACGGACACATGAACAAGGCAAAACCTCAGCATGCTGTGAGCTGATCTTTGACATCTTCGGTACTAGTAATGTTAGTGATTCTGCTATAGTGTTGAATTACAGGCAAAGACTTTAGAGTGGTTGTGGAAACCAAACATGGAATCATTTCATAGCTGCCAAACATCCACTGAAACAGTGGATTATTTAGGCTCTCTGGTTTATGAATACTGAAGAAGAAGGAGGAGGGGCAGCTGCTTAACGAGGGGCAGCTGCTTAACGAGGGCCAAAACATTCCCAGCATCCTTTGCTGTACACATCATTGCATGATTACCTCTTGGTTAAAGACTTGTCGTATAAAACAGTCAACACAAAGTGAAAACTGTTGGTGTACTGTTGAAGTACGCCCATATGAAGGACATTGTTAATGAAATTGACTTGCCCTTTTTCCTGTGTCTGTTTTGTTATGCAAACTAATGACATGTGATCTTTACAAAAAGGGATATGTGCATAATTACACTGAATCATATGGGGGGGAACACTTGGCTCAGCTCAATTATAGATAAAGGTTTTTTCCAATGGCACAGAACAAAATATGTCTGGCTAGAAACTACTAGAACTGGGACCTAACACATTAACAAGAGAAAAATAAAATAAATAAAGACACAACATTCTGGAGACTGGCTCACAGTGCAAAAACACAAAAGTCTTGACTTTGGAACGATGTTCCAGTATACAAAGTTTTGCAACACTGTCTTTACCGGGATTGTGGAGGTGGGAGGGGCCAATGGACACTGGCATGTGGCTTAAGAAACTTCACTAGTCTAAATGTCATAATCCCCTTTCTAGCCAATTTAGATGGGGTCTGCAGTGTGTGTGCGTGTGCGTGTTTACAGTAATGTAAGGTTTCAGTTCTGATGACATAGCAGGTTGAATTAGTTTGAACTAATTGTCTTTTGCTTTGGATTAGTTCCAACTGTTATCTGTCAATATGACGTCCAGATTTTGCTATATATTCCTGTGTGTTCTTGCGATTTTGTGAATAACTCGCAAGATAATGTTAAATTGATTGACCAACTTTGAATACTTTTTAAGACCCCGCGGACACCCTGCCGACACATCCAGGTAAACAGCTTCTTCCTCCAGACTGTCACTCATGAACATGACCCCTAACTGATGTAATTGCCTATGTGACACTTAAATGAGTCATTAGAGGAAGATGTTTACAACCATAACAGGCATGTGGTCTGACCAGTAAACCAGAAATACAGCCCTGAGAGCACTATCAAAAACAAAATGAACGGTTACCTTTCCTGAAGCACATAACAAGGCCATGTGTCGTAGAATTTGGTTTGCCATGTTTGTTTTTTTCTCTCCCTCTGTCATATGCTCGTGGAAATACCAGTGTTCGTTCCAACTCCCCTTGGCTTGTTGACAAAGACAAAGTAAAATATGGCACTACTAAGTACTGAGGCCGACGGTTATGAGTTGCAAATACACTTATTAATGCAATCATATAATAATAAGGAGGCTCTGTAGTCTGAACAAAGACTCTTTATTGCTCCCACAACAGCGACGCATTACAGATTTACCATTTCTGCAATTGTTTTCAGAATCAATTACAAACTTTGGCTGTAAAATGATAAAGTATGTCAAAAGGCCACCATGTTGACAACCACCACCCACAGCAAATCGTTAGCAAGCCATTGTCACTGGCTATTAACTAATGTGTTCTAAAACAGACCTGTGATGCCACCATATGCTCAGTGTCCCTCACAAGCAGAACAGCTTTAAAAAGGAACCTATTTTTCATTTTTAATAGTGTTACAGGACCGGTTTGCGTGTCATACACTGCCAATATGTATGGTAACTTGTACCAACAATTGAATCTTCACTTCTTGAAATGACTATCATTTTGTATAACAAACACTCAGCTTTCCTGCTGTTCTTAGACACGTGAGCTATACAGACATGTGCCTTGTTAGCTGGAAACACCGGAATGGCTTTTAGGCGTTATTTTGGGAATTTACCATAAGTGGCCTGGCGTGGTTCCAAACTAAAACAGGAAATACTAGATCATACGTCCAAAAGAACGACTGTTGTATCAAAAAAAAAAAATTCTGATGATGAAATAGGTTAGATTGGGACAAAATGCAGTGTTGCAGCACATCTAATAAAGGAATGGTATACTGGTTCAATACGAGTTCCTCAAAAACAAAGAAATAAGCAGATTGTATCATGTGGTGTTCTGAAAGGAAGTGCTGTTCTGAACAGTCAGTTCTTTAACATTCATGCCATGTGATGTCAAGAGAGACAGGGCTGACAACTGAACAGACTGGTTCGGCTCTTCTCTAACCTCCATCTTTCACCCCCTCCCTCCTTCCAGGAATGTGCCAGAGCAACATGTACAAGGTGTTTTGCCACATGTGACCAACAGGAATTCTCTTTAGGTTTACATACAACCTTACAGTTTTGGGTGCAGTTTAGTCTTAATATGTAGAATAAAGTGAAATCTATAGTCTATTTCAGCAAAAAACAGGTTAGATATTTGTAACAAAAGAAAAAACTTTCAAAACATCAAATAATCATTTGAAAGCTGTGTGCAGCAACTAGCCAAGATAAAGACCCATGGTGTGTAGAAGTTATATTTTACTCAGTTTTAGGTTGGTTTATGACTTATCCGTATAGATAAGTCATAAACCAATCCATAGAAACTGTTTGTAACTAGAATTACAATGGGGTTCCTCAAAGGTCCATTCTGAGACCTTCATTGTTTTTGATATGCCGACACTGGGGAAACAACAGAACACAGGATTCATTTGTGTAGCTATGCAATGGAGCCGCTGTAGTTTAGGGGGTGAATGGGCATCTACCATTCAGAGGGTTAGCGGTTCAATCCCCTACAGTCAACATGTCAACCATAACCCTAAGTTCTCCCGTAGGCATGTGCATGGTATTGAAGTGTATGCAAGTTAGGGCTGTCCCGAATACAATTTTTCGGGCTCCGGATATTCGGTACTAATCAGCAGCGAATATTCCAATATACCCCCGAACAAGCTCTTACGTTGATATTGGAAATTTTAATAAATACAATTTGGAAAAAAAACAACGAATAACGAAATTGAAACCCGAATAGTAAACGAACGAATATTCGGATGGAATGCTTTACCATATTTGGGTACAGCCCTAATGCAAGTCACTTTGGATAAACGCATCAGCTAAATTAAGTCATGTAATAATGATAAACAACTGTAAATCTATACCATTAAATTAGCCCTTTTGATAAACATAGTAATATATTATACAGAACAAACAGCTCTGCGCCTCTGAGAATAACACATTCTTTTGAATGTTAATGATGAAAAATTAATTTAGACATGGTGAATAGTGGAATATCACTGGTATTGGTATCAAAAACAACATTTTTGGATGAGCAACATCGCTTTTTCAGCTATCTGTTGTATTTGATGGCTTCATGTTTGCTTTCAGCTGTAAAGGAAAGCAGCTGATGAAAACCTAGCAAATACCGGTTTTGGGGTCTCATGACAGCTTTTTCATTTGTGAATTGATTTGATTAAGAATGCTTTAAGCTTTTGATTTGCAGTAATTACCCCCCAATTGTACCTAATTCTGAACACGTCAGCATTGACTTTAACCAACAGTCATTCTTCCTTTTTTCCAAATTATTTTGCCTCTTTTCTGCCTGCTTGGTTGGTTTTATCGCACTGTTTGCAAATGTTTTTATTTTCTGGCTTCTGGGTGGTATTAATTCTTTAAGCTAAAGTACTGTAGGCCTACTTACAATTTGTTGTTATTTGTACTCCACTTCAGTACTTGCGTTTAATGCTGCTTTAAACTTCTACTCCACTACTTCTTAAGAGGGAAATAATGTAATTGTATTCCACTACATTTATTTAACAGCTTTAGCTACTTTTAACAAAATGCAATCTCTAAAAATTAAACTAGTGGACAATATGAATTAGAAATGTCACATATATGAATTAAATACACACAAAGGCAATGTGTCTGTACAATGACTACTTTTTTAGATTTTGAACGCATGACTTTTACTTGAAATGAAGTATTTTGACAATGTATTGGTACTTTTACTCAAGTAGAGCATCTTAACACTTCTTCTTCCAGCACTGCCTTATTGAAAATGTATTAGTTTAAAAGTAGAAAAACCAGGATGGTAATAAAAGGTTTTGAAGACAGTACATTGTGCGTGTGCTTCGAGGAAATGAGGCTTAATAAAAATGTTGCTGCACGTGAACACAAACGCAAACACACCTAAAGAAACACTTCACGAGACATTTTATATGGCAGATAACATTTAAGGTTTTTAGACTTGTGGAATAAATTAGTTTCGCTTGGTTAAAAAAAATTAAGTGGCCACAATAAGTGACCAGTCACAGGAATAAATATGATAAAAGCAATAAGAGAGCTAAATTCGTTAATCTTATACACGTCGCAAAAAAAGTGAATCGTTCCAACACGCGCGAAAACGAAGGCACTGCCCAAACCGAACACCAATTATTTTTTAAAAGTTTCTTCCCCTTAAAAAGTCAAACAGAAACATTGAACAACTTCAGGTGAAACGACACAACTCAGCGAAATGTTTGTTACTGACCTGTTGCTCCTGGGAGGTTGCTATCGGCTGGAGATCACGGCTGCACTGATGAAAAGCTTCTGGAAGCTGTCCGAGCTGCCCTCGATCAGCGCGTGCACACAGGTTTGCAGGTGCACCGGCATAAAAGGTGCATCATGGGAACACCCTTTTTTTCTTGATTTCTGTTTTGAAAAAGTTCCAATGTAAAACATCATCCTTAACCTTCAAACAAACACACAAAGAACAAGACAAAAAGTTTAATTATTTAATTATAATAAAAACGCATTTCCCCTTAACATACACAAACATTATATTTTTTGGAAGAAAAATGACTAAAATAGTTAAATGGAATAGCAGCTTAATTAAAGGTGGGTTGTTAATGTAGAGTTCTTCTGCTGGATTGAATTGTTGTGGTATAAGCCATTTAATGTAGCAACAAAACCCTTTTTAAGACGGATAAATATAAGATATACTCACTACAGCATGCTTTATTTGTTTTATTAAATATTTGATGCAAATACTATTGGTGAGTAAAACATAAATTCATATAAACTCAACGGCTCCTGTATCGTATAACACAATCCAATACAACAATTCAGCTGTACGTTAACGTTATGGTTATTATTAAAATACGTTTGTCTTGGACTGCATTATATTTAGCCTGTTTCTAATGTATTGCATTAAAAAGATGAATAAGTCAGAATATGGGACCTACGACCTCAATGATAAACACAGAGTTTAATGTATGGCTCTCTTTTTACTGCACTGTGCATGTTAGCCATTATAGATAGATTTGTTGATTTTAGCTCATGATTTCAACACAATTTCCCCATAAAATACAAGAAACAAAAAAAGTTATGTTAAGTATGCCAAAGATTTGGTAAAGCATTCCATCTAGTGGAAGAATAGTAAAATGGTACCTGCCAATCTGATTGAAAACAGCATGTAAGGAAGTACTGCCTGGAAGGCTTGACTCAGGGAATTAACGCTCCAAACACCTCAGATTTGCACTTAGCCAAAATGTCGAGAGTGAAGTTTCAAGGATGTGACAGAAGCATCAGATGAGATGGTGCAGAATGGTGCAGAAGTGTTTTCTATACAAGTGAGGTGTTCTGACACCATAGCAGGGTTGCCAACTTTGGGTACCTGGCTGGAGTGAGATTTTGATATCATGGGTTTAATTCATACTTGTCAACCCTCCCGATTTTCGCGGGAGACTCCCGATTTCATTGCCCTCTCCCGGTTTCCTCCCGGGGTCATATTTCTCCCGCATTTCTCCCGATTTCTGACAACATCAGATTTACACACGACTGTTTCCGGTTTC